ATCAGTGTGTGGATTACTGAGTGTGGAGTTTATTGAGTTGTTTAGTCAGCTTGTTGGTATCGGGTTTTGGGTTGACATCGGTCACCTTGAAGTTAGTCTCGTTTGTTGTAGACTTTATATGTTGGTTAAGGAAAACTGAAACTAATCGAACATGTTATGCCATTGAATCTGACGGTTGATAGAATACATTAACTTTATGTATTGATTAATTGTGTATAGAACCTTTGTGTTTATATGCATTGTGTGTAGAGGAGGAGATGGGGGATGTACTCCGCGTTTAGGGGAAGATGGGGGATGTACCTCTAAACCAGATAGGATTGGGAGGAGATGGAGGATGAACTCCGTAGATACAGCTCATATGCTTGTCTAGTGAAGTGTGGATACAGCTAATATGCTTATTTGTTAATGTGTAATATGCTTATCTTTGAAAGTGTGATATAGTTTTTTATACTTATCTGTTGATAAGTGCTGTTGTTATTTCTATTGACTATCATTATAGAAATGTTATGTTCTGTGTTGGTTGTGGTATCACCGTGTGCGTGATGGTTATTGATAGTGTTTATTTTGCAAAGAAATGGAAAATAAAGCTTTTCCTAGTATTTGGGCCACCTAAGGGTGTTGTTGAGAAATTGATTTAATTCAAGGGTTTTGAGGAATTGCAAATGAATGATTTTTGGCAAATAAATGGTGGATGACTGTGTATTAGATAACACCGTGTTGGTGAAAAATGTATAAAAATTTTTGAGTTTCACATGGAAAATGCAAAGTTTATTTCGAAATGTCAGCATTGAAAATTTGACTATCTTTGAGAAATGTCTCTTGAGCAAGAAAATGTTTTCTTATTATTTACTCAAAAGGTTTGCTTTGGTCGTGTTGTTACATAGTGACTTAGCTTGAAGCGCTGTTCAGATGTGAGTAAACTGTTTCAGAAGGGTTGATTTTGTTGTGGCTTTTATGCCTACAGTGTTGTCATTTGGAACGTGTTCCCTCGGTTAGTCTCTTCCTTGGTAAGAGTGGATTAAAGGTTTGTAGTGAGAGTAGTTTCTTTCCTAGTACTCGGGTGTTGGTGTTGTGTGATCAATTGGCCTTGTGTTTTGCCGTATCCTTAATTTCGAGGACGAAATTCTTTAAGGGGGGGAGGTTATAGCGATCCCGGTATTCTCTGTTGTTATTGAACTGTAATCCGGACTTGGTTCCGTAGATTTATTGTTGTCTTATCCTCTTTTCTATCCCGTACTCTTTATCTTAGAGTTTTGGGTTGTGTTGGACTTGTTGGGAATAAGTTGGTGATGTTTTAAAACTTAGAAATCCTTGCCCAGTTTTTGGTTCCTCCACTCGAGCGGCTCTTTTGACGCTCGAGCGGGACTCTGTTGTTGCTTGTCCGCTCGAGCGGGGGTGTTGGCGCTCGAGCGGGGAATCACCCATCCAGTATTTCGTCTGCAGTGGTATACGCTCGAGCGGGGGAGTTTGACGCTCGAGCGGGCACCATGTCTGTAAAAGTTCTGGGAGCGTGCATCCGCCGCTCGAGCGGGGGATTGGACGCTCGAGCGGGATCTGTGAGTGACGCTCGAGCGGGGCGACTTTTATATAAAGCCGAGATCCGACCTTTTTGTTCACTTTTTGATTTCCTTTCTCTCTCTTACTTTTCCGAAAAGCCATTGGAGAGCACCTCACTCTAAAACCTAACTTCTCTCTTAGGATTGATCTAGCTAGAGTGTTTTCCTCACCTTGGGCTTCGTAAGAAGTGTGTTGATCGTCGAGGGCTTCGTTTTAATCCGAGAACTTTGGGATTTGGAGCACTTCTGAGTTTTGCTCTTCTTCTCTTTGAGTTCTCCATTTGAGGTAGGATTCTCCATGTTCTTTTTCAATACTCCGTCTATATATAGACATGTGGTAACTTTTGTATTGCATGAAAATTGTATCATGTTGGATTTGTTGAAAATCATGAAATAAACCTAGGGTTGGTTGTGTAGAGAATGGTTTTGGCTTCATTGATTGTTGTCTTGGCTAATTAAAATAAATTAGCATGTTGTAGTTAAATGAAGGAAAAAGCCCTAAATCATATTGTGATTGATAATTTAAAAATGGAGGATTGTGAATCTATATCGTAAATCTCTAGTGTTGATATGGGTTGGGTGAAGGTGTTAATGCCTAAGGGATTAACTTTGGCTTTGGAATGGTTTGAAATGAATGTGGTGGACTAATGTGAGTTATGACTCTATTATCAATGGAAGTGGTTTTGTAAAACAAAGGAATGAATTTGTTTTTTGTAACAACAAAAGAGGACGGAGTTGGTTTGGTGAAAACAAAAGGGAATGGAACTTGTTTTGTGAAATGGGAAAGATTTTTGAAATACGTATGAAAATTGGATTGTTGTTTCATGAGTGTTGAACACACACATGTGTGGGATTGTATCTTAAACTACCCTGTAAATGTTGTTGTCGGGTTTGTGGTCTCATAGTAATTGAGTCTTTAATAGATCTACTAAATATTTACATCTAGAGGTTTTGTCCTTGGTCATCGGTGGAGGATGACACGGTTGAGTTGAATGGTCGTGTATGCATCATACCATTATTGATTGAACATCATATGTGATGAAATGTTGAGATGCATTATATATGTATGCTTGTTCGGGAGGAGAGAGGGGTTGTACTCCAGTGTGTGTGAGAAGATAGGGGATGGACTCCACACACCTATGTGTTCATATACTTTAACACATTGTTTGTATCTGGATGGTTTATGTTATATAGTTGCACATGTTGGTTATGCCCTGTTGCATTTCGATTGTTGGTGTTATACCTGCGCTGATAATCAAGGTACCGTACCTTCCAGCTAGCGCCTGGAGAACTGAATGCGCTGAGAATCTAAGGTACCACACCCTTCCAGCTAGCGCCTGGTAAATTGGCATGTTGTTGTGAGAGGTGTATCTTTGGTTACTACGCA